TAAATATACCTAATACTCCTTCCTCCTCCTATTTTCCCCACAACCACCACCCTGTGAGCTGAGTTGAGCTAAGAGAGAGTGGTTTGTTTTATTCATTACATTTTAATTATGTTCCTCCAAGGAACTCAAGAAGCTGTGCATGATCATTTGGCCCCTTATCCTTAAATGTAATTAGGTTGCTTTCATTACCCTTATTTGTCTCAATTCCCTGTCTCTTCTCTGGACATATTTAAAACATAAATACCTGGGGCAGTTTAACATATTTATGACTTACTATGTTTGCATTGGCTTAACCAGAGTCAAAGGCTTAAAAACAACAAGCACAATACAAAATAGATCTCAGCTTTCTTTTCAGTGTATATACTATGGATCTATTCCAAGCAAAACCTCACATCACATTAAATAATTAGACTAATAATGTGATCTTATATTAAAGACAATTTGAAGTTCTTGGCCCATTGTTATCAATAAGCTATCATTTTGTAAATTTCTGTCAATAGAGGCAAGTTGATTAAATAACATTTGCTACATTCTTTTATTAATCTTCTACACTACAAATGCATTAGAATTAGAATATTTGAATTCTTCCAATTAGTTCCTATAGCATTACTGGATAAAAGATATCTTACAAGCCCTACACATTTAAAAAAGGAAAATTTTTCCAGATATTATGATTATGAATCTGAGATTCATACATAAACAAGGCATATTATAACCTCACATACCCAGAGCTTCCACATCAACTTTCTTCCATAAAATAAACATGCTGCATGTCTCTACCAATAGATATTTTAATATTTATAATACTATATCTATGTCAAAGATGCCTCTATTGCAGATATGTTTGACTATCTCAAAGTGTCTGGATGTTGAGGCTACCTTGTGCCTTCCTTCAATATGTATATATAAAGAGGGGGAAGATTTATTCCTAAATGAATGTAATTTAGAAAGACAAGAAGAACTTTTGAAATAACAATTATTGTAATTTTACTTTAAAAGCTACATAATGTAGGGTATGATACCTATAGACCACTATCTCTGATTTCAGCTTAACACAGTACAGGAAGAGCCATATTTATCCTTATCCCATTAAACTAAGAGAGTTGATCCTGAAAAAAAAATATTAGCCACACTTTCTGATTAATTTCACTGTAAGGTGGGCCAGAGAATAATTTTGAAGGTCCACCTTTCTGACCATCAGCTATAAATATTTATTTATATGATACAGCCTTTTGTGTGTAATTTTCTTTCTAATTTTCTGGATTTGTGAATGAACTGGATTCTCAAAATGTAAGTCAATCAAGAGGTAAATTTCTATTCCACCTTTCCCTTTTCTCTAACCTGAAATGCTCATACTGTTTTAGAGATGTGCCCAGGTATAACTGTTTATCACACCAACAGTTTTAGATACATTTTAAAGAACTTACTGAAATCAAGAAGGCTGCGCTGCCCTTGTAAAATAAAGCTGTATACTTTGTAATCATAATGTAATCCTGCATAGGTTAAAAACAAAAAGTCTCACCCTCTTTTCAAATATTTTAAATAAACAGAATTAATTGTTCAGAAGTGAGCTAGAGAATTGCCTTGGTGTGAGACAATGTATATACCTGTAAGATCGCATTTTTATCTGAGGAATTATGTTATTTTAAAAATTACTAATAAATTTTTTAACTATGTCATTATTGGTTTATCCTAACTCTTTCTAAATATAACCCTTCCTCTTGACATCTACTGCAAACAGACCAACTTGCCTGACAGTCATATATTTATAAATGTACTCACCCCAGTACCTATCTATTATAACCCCATCAATGCAAACTGCAAACAGAATTTGAGTCTTAATTTGCCACCACCACCACCAAAAAAAAAAAATTAGTTACTGCAGGTAAAGGACAGTTCAACACTCACAATGGAGGATAGTAACAGCTGTGTAATACTTAACATCAGAAAACTACATTATCTAATCAGTTTTACATGTATTACAAACAATGAACAGTCTACTGCGATGAATCAGAAATATCAAATAATGGAACCAATTATCCAGAGTTAAGGAGAGACTCCCTTCACAACATGAGTTCGAACAAAGGAGAGCCATCTCTCAAAAAGTTTCTAATCTGGATTTCTGCGCTGAGCAGGGGATTGGGTGTATAGTAATAAAGAAAATGCCCCCTTCTAGCTCTCTGTTTGTAAATAATATGAAATTAATTTTGGTATTAATCGGATAGAACCACTCCGTAAGAAACAGTCCTACCTATGTATTCCTATATTTTGAGACTGCAGAAATGCTAGCATGAAGAATTTTGAATACTCTGTTAAACATTTGAGAGCCCAGAAAAGACAGACTTAAACTTTATATAGTAAATCTACATCAGCTCTTGCTCTAGATTAGTTAAATGTGTGGACTTCACATACTTATCTATATTATTTCTCTGTACAAGATAGCGTGTGCTATGCAATTTCAGCCATTCTTCAGGCTGATCAGGAAGATGTTTCTGGTAACTTACACATTAAATCACATCCTCTCCTCTCACAGGACAAGCATTCATTTGTTGCCTTTATCTTAAGGTCTGCCTGGAATACAGCATTTTCTTTTGTAATTCCCGGGGCTTTTACCTATTATTTCTTCTTCTCCTTAAAGTTTTATTTCTTTCTGATGAGACTGGTCTGTCTCTCAAAGAGAGGAGGAAGGGCTTTATGCAGCCAGGAGACAGCATTATTTCAATTGTTTCCGTTTTTAATTCTGTATTTATTTATTTATTTTTTAGCTTTTGGTGTCCAGAAAGGTCGAAGGGCTTGGGAGGGACCGTTCTGTGCCAGGCACCAAGGTTAGCGAGAGGACCCCTGAGGAGGCGCTGCCGAGGCAGGTGGTGACAGAAGAAGAAGGTGGGGTCCGGGCGGGAAGAAAGGGAGGCTTAAGACCCCCGGCCTTCCGCCACCACCCGGACTCCCAGTTTAATAGCCCCATAAAACCCAAACGGTGCAATCACTGAAGCAAAAATATCAATATCAAAGCAGCCACCCACAGAAACCGGTTGGCCATAACATCCCTGCCGATCCCCGGAAGGCCAACCTGTAGTCCAGGTTAGGGGTTAAGTAACGGCCGCCGCTCGCGCCCGGCCACGCCCCCTTTCCCTCCGCTCGTCTCCTCACCGCCGGTCCAGAAGAGGGGGACGCCCGCCCCCCTTCTCCTCCAACACCTGCCCCCACTCCCCCTTGCCTCAAGGTAACGTACCCACCCCCGCCTTCCCCCAAGAATGGGCGGCGCGCGCCCTCCTTCCCTGGCGGCCACACCCACCCGTCTATGCCCCGCCTCAGGTGAGCTTCGTCCGGCCCCGCCCCCCCCTGCCGCCTTCCCCGTGGGCCCCGCAGCCCGCGGGCGCGGGGGGGAGCCCGCCTCCCGGGCCGCGGGCT